TTTTGACTGAATTGGATGTCATCACTGTGTGCTGGGCTTCTGTCCCTGCTCTTAGAAAGGTGGGCTTGGATGCTGATTTACATATTATCTAGAGACTCCTATTCAGAATCTGACAATTCAGTGTGTTCACTCGGAGCATGTCTTCCCTTGTGCATAGATTTATTCCAAACCTTGGCTTCTTTATCTTCCCCAGTGGTACTGTGGAAAATCAGGCCATAGACTTTGAATTAATTGGATAAAACCATAATTAGAATAATTAGGATACTAACAAAGTCTAAAATGACTTGGACCATTATGCATCTAAAAAGCAGCAGGTTTTCAGTTCTTGGGAGAGGTCTTGCCGTGCTACTTTACACACTGCACTGTTTGCTCGTGTCATCTGACATGCATACAGTCGACAGCACAAAGACATCATAAATCTCAGAGTACAATAGAAACGTTTGTTCTCTTTTTTATGCATCTTTGTACATCCACTCTTTGTTGTTTGGCACCAGACAGTGGGAGACCTGAGATGGCCTTAAAATCCCTGAACACCCGGTCTGGCCAACGTAGCACCTGTCACTAGGATGGAAAGGAAAATGAGCCATTTGGCGAAATAGTGTAGTCTGTTTGTGCAAGCGCATTCCAAGAATTCAGAGCTACTATCCTGTTTTATTTGCCACTGGTTAATGCTTCAAGTTTTATATAATGCTGTGTATAGTGTATAGGTAACATAAGCCTGGGATTGTAGAAAATGTGGCCACAACATTTAATTTAAAGCCCTCGTAATGCCTGGTACACCCACACTAGTGTTATCAGACTGTACCTGATCTCAGGACTGTGTAGGAGTATACAAAGCGTACCTGACACTTCTCCAAGTCTCCGGTGTTGGTTTTGTTGCACCCATTAGGGCAGAACAACTTACTCATTTATGATTCTTGGTGACTTCAGCAAGCTGCCAGCATAGCTCCACCCAAAGTTAGCCTGTGAAGAAGTCTAGGACCTTTAAATTTTAAACATCAAGTATGAATGTTGCAAGAGGCAGTGTGTTTCCCAGTGGAGTAAGGGGCATGTCATTGTCTATAAATCGGCCAATTGTACTTTTAGATTCAGACCACGGTATTTCAGAATCTTTTTTTAACTGAAACTACAGTATAATTCAAACGTAGCCTCCAGCAAGACTGCACTCTGCAAACTGACACAAAGAGCAAAACAAACATGAAATGCTTGGTTTCATAATAAAGTTTATTCTATATTACAAATAGTATTTTGTTCTTGACTGCAAAATAGGAATGCATTATATTTACATACACAGGTATACAATTAATTATAACAAAGTTAGAGAAGCTCGCCTTATATCCCCCAGGTTTCGTTTTTATCTCTCGATAAGATACTCTTTATCTTTCAAATATGGTCTAGTAAAAGTCTTCTAGCATGTTTCTGTAACACCTGCTATAACACTGAGCTAGGAGGATATTTTTAGTTCCTACAAAACGTTTGAAGGTGGAAACTTTATCTGTGCTCTTGGCAACACAAGGTGGCTACTAGCAGACAACCTTTGTTGCAGGGGAAGGGACAGGGCAGGGAGAAATGAAAGACAGGATGTTACACTGGGGGGCAGATTCACAGTAACAGTCCAGGACTCTTGCCTTGTGTTATTTATTAACACGCGGCTGTGAGGGGAAACTTACGGTATCTAGACAGAGTATACATTGGCTACATGAATGACAGAGGTTCTTTGAAATTGTCCAAAGGTGTTTCAGTAGTACGTTTCTTACAATATTAATGCCAGCCTTGCATGAATTAATCGTCTAGTCGTTAAATCAATCCTTATTCCCCTCATTTTCCAATAACGGATGAATAGGTTGGATAGGTTTACTAAATACCGTTTCCGGCAGACACCTTGTGAATGTACCCCTCCAAGTTGAAACAACAGACATTCATCATACTGCATAGCTGCAGACAGTAGTTAATGGACAATGACTTGGATATCTCGCATACAAGACCGTCATTTGCCAAACTCAGTCTTACACATAAGTCTACTATCAAGCCTAATGTGCCTGTCTTGTTAGAAAGTTGTTTATCTGTATGATAAATTACATGTTGGTTTCTTCCAGGTGTAAGGGATAGTAACATGTGACACACATGGTGGCACACTGATGCAGTCTTTTGTTGCTTTTTATGAAATGAACCCTTATCGAACCACATATGTGTGTTTTAATGGGTTGGGCCCATCTTTAGTTATTGAAAAACAGGGCTTCATCACTCAAATTGTTTATGCATGTTTTGGGCTCAATTGATGGGGAAAAAATGTTTTATGGAATAATGATGATGATGAAATAATCAATCTGCAGTTAATAATGCAGCAGACAAATCTCAAAACAAGATGAAATAGCAGCAAAGACAGAGCAAGTCTTGACTTGCATCTTCAGTGTACTAAAACTGAGACGCTGAGGCCTATAATGGAGGACACGGCAAAGAGGACAAGAAATTCAAAACAGGATTCATGTTGTCTTTATGTGAAATCCATAATCTTAAAATTAACACTTGGCTTGTAAAAGGCTTTGAAGTCCCTAGATGTAGTAGGAGTTTATAAATATCTTTGAGCAAGACAGTTCCATTTCATACCATCCAAATAGGTCAACATGCAAGGGTATATAATATCTGTTTTATTTAGCATCTAACACGTCACAAAAACCATGGGCATGAGGTTCTGCAGTAAGGGCTGAACTGGATAAAGGTTCCACCTTAAACGAAAGTTATAGTTTTTATTACATGAACAATCCACTTTTTCCATCTCGATTCTTCCAAGCAAAAGAAAGATAAAAGAACACATCCACATCATCATTGCAAGGCTTAATTTTCTTATTTTTCACTTTTTTTTTTTTAAATAAGTTTCTTAAATTGTTTACGTTTTACATGCGCTTAAAAAGCCAATAAAGGACCCAAGGTGGACCTAGGGCGGTCTTCACACATTCACATCACCACATGGGGCACGTTGTCAAGGCAAAAGAAAGGGCAGAGGTCAAAAGGTACGGAGGGCGCCTCCATCATCTCTCTTTCAATCACTCTCTCCATAAAGTCTTATCTTAGTTAATGTCTATGATTTTCTGTTTATCCTGCCACAATTCTCACTTCTTGTTCTGTTCCTGCACTGCTTTATCAGATTTTTTCTTTTATTTTCTTTTTTTTTGAGGCTTGGAGAAGGCCGCCCCCTGCCGCCACTGAGGACAACTACACTAATACAGACAAGAGCGCCTCAACAGTTACACACTCAAGAGTTGGGGTTTTGCCGTATGCAACTAGCTACCATCTCCAACGCTTGTGCAAAACAGAAAAGAAAACTGGTAAGTCAGGAGCCGGACACAAGGGTGAACGGTGTGCCGAGAGCTGGAGAGACCCGGGACGATGGAAAGAGAAAGGAGGATCAGATCACCTCACCCACAGAGCCTCTCACCTCGACACACTGAGGTCAGAAAAATCACACAGGTTTCTTAAAGTTCCAGTCACAATATTTTTTTTTGTCCTAGAAGTGGTTGTCTTTTACATCGTCCTTTTTTTGTCAGTTCCTCAGTGGCACTTTGCAAATACATTTTTGACCGTTTTGAATATTTCAAGCTCCTTTGGTTTTTGGCTGACCGACTAAGTCCATCTTGTTTGTTTTCTCCACACAAAAGTCTTTAAATAAGAATATCCTGGGAAAGAAGTGCTACTCTCACACAGGGCCCCGTTAAGGAGCAGTCAGCCATCTCTGGCTACACTGTATTGAATCATTCTTCTTATTTTTAATGATCAAGCAGTTTCTTACCCGGTACATTTCAGTCAGCTCTTCCCTTTACCCCCTCCAGGGTTGGCGTAGATATCTGGGCAGTCAGGATCTTGGGCAGCTGCTGATTGTGAGAATCTGTGCGTATGTGTGTGCTTTGATAGACCGTCGCAATGGCGACACAAGATTGGAAGTGGCGAGAGCCAGACAAAGACTGCTCCTGGTGTTTGGATTACCAGTCAAAACACTGTCTTCCAGAGTTGGTTGTGTGCTTCTTACAGAGGATCCAACTTGGGTCGGGGCCTCCAGGGTTTTGTCTAATAGGTTAATTTTGCAGTAGCCACATAAGCTAGATGGAAGCAGAAATCATGAGCATTTTCTTTGAAGGAAATGTATGCTGGGCCAGGGAAAAATGTGCGAATCTTGCAAAGTTTCAGTGTCAGTCACATTTCAATAAAGGAAAAGTTCAGAGAAGCACTAATCCTTCCCTACCCCCATCAGTCTTTTTCTTAAATACAACTCCAGCTACATTGAAAGAACACAAGAACATTCTAGGTTTGCCTGGACTCGACCCATATTTCGCAGATATGTATGCTTCGCTTGTAGGTACAGTGTAAACTCGGCAAACCATCCTTGCATTAATTTTCTTCAGAGGTGTTCATTTGGCTTGCAGTCATCATGTTCGATGTTTCCTCTTGATTCTGTATTATATAGAACTACAATAAACTGGACTCTAGAGATGGTTTTATTTTAACTATCCTATTTTTGAAAAAAGTTCTCAACAAAATGGACACCCAACATTGTGGGTTTTAAAGAATTACTTATAAATTCTTGAAGGCAACATAAAAACATCCCCCCCCCCCCCTTTTCTTTCAGCAGGGGGACCGAAGTATGCCAATATGGCCAGCTTTCAAGCAATCACCCCTTGAAGCTCTCCCTGTGGTGAAGCTGAGGGATCCCACACATTGCACTGTGGGAGATGCCAACCTCAGCCCCAAACCACCCTCCAGATATATTCAGGTAAACTAGTCTATGCAGCAGAGTGGATGAGGAAAACAATATTTCTTGGTGAAGAGGAAGCTGAAAAAAGGTCAAGGAAGAAGTCATCATCTTTGAAAGGTGGAGGGGAGGAAGTCACATGATGAAAAAGATGGGGACAGGTCTTCGCTCAGGCACGGCTCGGTTTCTGATGGGGTCTCTTCCCAGTGCGCCCTGGGAAGTGCGGTCCTCAGCTCTCTAGACTCATGAAGGCCACCACCTGCTCCAGCTTGAAGGCCAACCTCTGTTTCCTGGCTGCATCGTCCTGCTCCAGTGCACACACAATCTGCCAGCAGGACAGTGAGGTAAACACAGACACACAGACATTACTAAAATCACTCAACACAACACTACTCTGAAATCTTATATTTCATGATAACTAATCTAAGATCAAGATGCTCCAATGTGTTTTGTAGTTTCTTCTTTAAATATTACTGTAGAAAATATTTACCCTAGTAAATGTAATATCCTGTATCACTGCTGAGTGTACGAATAGAACTGTAAACTCGGGTAAAGGAATACTTTCTATCACTCCATGTTAGCTTAAAAGGTGGTTTTGAAAATATTGTAGCTCCCTCCTTGTGGAGGACGGCAATTTTAGTCAGTATGGATACACCGGCATTACAATCGCACCCCTACGTCCTCTCAAGATGGATAGTTTATTTATCCCCGGTATTAAACCCTGATTATTAAGCAACAGTTGACATTTTGATGCTTTTTTTGGTCTGGAATCCACTGTCCCTGCTGTGAAATGTTTGTGAGACACCTACAAATGGTTGTTTCAGCACGGTCATTTCCATCAGGGGTAGGAGGAACATGTCCACCTAACTTTTCAAAATTGTCCTTACTGTCTGGCCACCATAATGCAAAAGAAAACTGATGGAGATGTTGATATAATCATCAGTAAATATAGATTATATAAGAACAATTTTCAGTGTCTCTAACTCCTCTAACCAAACATCAGTGGGTCTAAATTGTACTAGATCTTAGATAACACAGATGAAAGAAATGTGGTGAAAGTCTCAGTATTACATACCTCTTCAGTGTATTTCCCCACGTAGGAGTATATCTCACTAAGAGAGCTCATGGTGTTGAACTCGTTCATGTGCATCCGTGACTGTTCTGCCAAATAGGCATTCATGTCCTGGTCGCTGATCGCCTGCATCTTACTAATGTCTGAGTAGTACCTATTGTAAGAGACATGGAGGAATAAAACAAACATTAACACGTGTTAGGACTATGTTTACTGCTGAGAACATTAATAGAAAAACTGTGTGCTCTTTACTCCTTGCAGTGGTTTACGGCAGTTATTTGAAGATATGTAATTAATTCATGTGGCACAGAGGTATGATGGATAGTAACAAGTCTGAAATGGAGTCATAGTAGATAGTGACAGGCCTTAAATTTCAGTCCTTGAACACCACAACAGAACACATACAGTACACACACGCTGCATAGAGGTAAGGGTAATCAGTCACTGTCAGCAGCAGCTGTGTTGCCCCTATCAACTATGTTAATTAAACCTGGTTATTTACATATTAAATTCCTGTAGCTGCAGCCGCTCGAGGACAGGCCCGGTGTTTTGCTGGGTGACTCTGGGCATGTGTGAGGGAGAGATGTATTTGCCAGGAAACAAGTCTTCAGAGCAAACTGAGCAAAGGAAAAGGCAGGTGGGTGTTAATCATAGCCTTTGCATAGAGGTCACACACACATCACCACCTGTTCAGCGCTGGAGGGCAGTTGTAGGGAGTTCATAGCTGAGGATTGTTAGTGTAGAGACCAAGTGTGCTTATTTTGGGAAAGAAGTTTTTATAAACAAAACTAATTGCTTGCAAAAATAACTGAGGCTATTTCCAACATTAACCTACATTAGCCTACATTAGCGAAGTACTTTGGCAATATGTCTGTCTGACTGTGGACAGATTTTATCAACGTTATAGTGTCATAACATGTATTCACAAAAATTCACAGGTCTGCAGTTGAGATCAAAATGAAGGCCGGGTTTGAAGATGCGTGTGGTCCGATCCATGAGTACTAGTGCTCATGTCAACATGATGACGGGCGTTGCGGCTGGTGTGATCCCAATGCACAAGATTTTTTTTTTCAAGCATATCTACTACGAATTGGAAGTCACGTTTTTCACTTGTCTATCTCTTATGCACCTGACAGGAAAGATACGCTTCCATTTTTATCAATACAACAGTCTGTTGCGGTCAGGAGTAAACAGCTGAACTGTTACATGCAACCCAAAGCGACTTTTTGGTCTTTCTTGTGATGTATGCGTGCACATGTTTGTAGTATAGACCAGATGTCTAAAGCAAACTGTTAATTGTGTGACCAATTTGTGAACGCATCTCTATGGAAAGACTGCTTTTAGGGTTTTAAGATATAAGTTCTACTGAAATATGCTTTTAGGAAGTAATAATAAGATAATCGTTCATCCATACTACCTCCAATATTTTTCATATTCACCGAATATCATATTTACAAAAGCTACTGCCAAATAACACTTTAACACAAGCAGCCTTTAGAAAATCATAGGTCTTAAAACAATGTTTTGTTAGCTTTGCAAATGTACTGATCCATATGCGGACACTGTAAATAAATGTTTACCAGCCGTGATGGATTTGTCATTGTCTGGAGACCATCAACTCCCACATCAAATTCGAGTAAAGTGTCAATATCTCACTAGCCCGCTTCACTTCACAGCTCCAAATTAATATCAACATACTGTAGCAAGTAAAAAGCTCTGTGGGAAATCATGGCTCTACCCAACTGCACTGCCTCTGAACCCCAGATATCAAAATAAACTGCTGAATATGCAGACTTGTTGACTGATGTCATTTATCAGTGTTTCAAGTGATTTTCTTTATAGATGGACTGCTGCATAGCAAAAACTCAATGTGTCAAGCTTAACTTCCTGAGACACAGATTTCCATTAGCCTGCTCACCATTTAAGGATGTCCTATCCTTACAATTAAGCTGTAGCATCAAGAAGAGAAAGAAACGGGGAGGACATCTCTTCTCTACCTCCACAGTATTCACTGTCCTTTCCCTGTGCAGTCTTTTTTCATAGCTGCTGCATTCTGCCTTTTAAATCCTCTCCCTGGCATGACCCTTACTTTGGCACGGATGGCCAGCAGAGTGAAGACGAGCTAGATCCAACCTTACTCAGTCATTACTATATTACTGAGGCTTTTCCAACTGAATAACGCAGTTCCACTGGGGGTGTTCACTGATGACAGTATTGCGCCACCAAACTTGCAACCAAGAAATGGTTTATATACACACTATAGGACAGTGGGCTGTTTTTTCCCCCCCTGGCATGAACAGTTAAAACTATTATGGGGGTAAATTGATGTCAATATCATTGTACATGCACAGACTATGAGTCACAAAATATATATATTACATTTTGTAAACACAACATGATCCACAAATAGATTAAAAATCCACAAACTCTCCATGAGTGAATAAATACATTTTGTAGATTGTTTCAAATTTGTTTTTAGAATTCACACCACTATTTTTCTGTTTTACAATTTCTACTGCCAACCAAACTATGAAAGGGGGATAATTATTCAGCACATAAGTTATCATGGATACTGGAGTCCACACAGGATTAGATGTAGAGTGGATAATGTACATGTTCTGACACATTTCAGCTCTTATTTTGAATCGTATTCACACTCTGGTAAACTACTTTCAAAATGATTTATTGACAAGTGCAAAGCGATCCATAAATATAGATTTGACACGTCTTGAAACATTTCGTTTGCAGATTGTGAAGTGCGCATATGTAGAAATTTTAATATGTGAAATAGTAGTATTAAAATTCTGACTAATGCAAAAAAAAATTTTAAAAAGTTTTTAAGTACAAGTCACTGATTTGTATTGGTTAATTATGGAGAGTTTGTTTGTGGATCGTGTTTTCAAATTGTAATATATATTTGTGACTCAGTCTGCTCATTTACAGTTATATTGACATTGATTAACCCCCATACTGCATACATTCAACTTGTGCTGTTGTATAATTTTTCTGCTTACAGTATCAAAACATATCCATGTATGAATCAGCAGAGGACCCTCCCATTTTCCTCACACTTAGTTGTGTTTATGGGAGACCACAAACACATACAGGAATAATGAGCATGGCCCTGAGCCTGAAGCTCTCATATGGTTTCACCCATTCAAACAGCACACACACATTCTCACCCTGAGGCTTGCCTTGTGACGAAGCTACCAACACATAAATACTCTGACCGCTTCACAGTACCCCATCTTTTATTCAGGACCTCTTCGCCTCCCCTGCTGACAAATAAATTTAATAAAACTCTCATTTTAACAAATTACCAGTTTCTACTGCCTGCTACTCTCAAAAATGCATTCTCCCAGCACACTGGCTCCTTTGTACTGTAGATCTTAAGCTCTGGGCGCTCCCATCCATTCCCACTTTGTTGTAATTTGGATTGTGTTTCATGGCCCACAGTGCTAAAGTCACATTGTATGTGTGTTGGAATGAAACATGGCTAATGCAGATTTTCTGATATTTTCCCTCATCTTGGAGCCCACCTTACAGTCAAAAACATTTCCTCCCTCCATCGAGTGTTTGGTGTGTACATTTTATTGACAGCTCACCTCTCCACCCAGCTCTTATAGCTGGGAATGTCCTTGGCATAAAGCAGCTTGTTGGAGGGTGAGTCCTTCCCAAGGCGGTGTTCTGAGGTGGAGCAGGAGTCCATGAAGGTCTGGGCCACCACAGACAGACAGGCATCCGTGATGCTGCTCTTATGTATGTCAAACACAAACTGGGGGTTCTTGATCACATTCACCCAGAAACGCAGAGGTAGGCTGCAGGGAGGCGGGAAAAAGACAGCAAAGCAGTTTAGTGGCAAACTAGTTATAAATATAGTTTTAGAACTTGAAATGTTGAACTTCAATATTTCTACAATAAGAAATGCTAATTTTGTATGGTTTTTTCACTTGTTTTACCATAACTGAACTTGTACTGCAACCTGTAAACAAAATGTCAAGCTAAAACAACTTGAGGAGCTAATGAAAAAAAATGCCATTTTATGCATGTTAATGTACTCTGTTGTGTTACACACATTACATTTGCACCGATTGTTCAGTTCCATCTCAGTGACAGATTGCTCATATAGCCATGCATACAGAGGAACAAAGGGTGTAAAGTAAAATAATCTCAGAGCAGTTCAACCGGACACACAGACTTAAGTCCCTAAATGCCATTTTTGTATTTGCTACAGTCAGTCAGGCAATAGACATGAGCATATTATGGGCCAGAAGGGGGACGAGGATTCATTCACTTTGCAAAGCTAGTACACAAGCCCTGCTGTTGCCGATGTGCTCTATTTGATGTGTGTGCTCAATTCAATAAAGCCTTTATCTTTAAAACCAGGTGGTGGCTGGCTCTCATTTTTTCCAGCAGTGTCCAGGGGTCCTTGCTGGGGGCCGCACAGTGACACAGTTCATATTGCCTTGTTTGTGCAAGTGGGTCCTATTTTGTGCCTGTCCAGAATAATAAAAATATACAAGTCTGTTTATTTTCTGGGCTTGTTTCTGCCAAAATGAATAGATATAGGGCCAGCTTTATCTGTGTGTTGCAGTGAAAGGGCGCAGGTGGTATTAAGAAAGTGCTAAGTGTTACTTGGATCTCTATATCTTTACAATTCTCTGGGCTATGTGCTTTTAGCTGATGTGGCAAAAATCTAACAGGAAAGACACTAAGGCCTAGCCTGTATAGGAGTTTCCCTGTGTGGCACAATATCAAAGGATGAGGGGGAAAACAATAACTGAAATACAATCATTTAAATACCACGGTACTCCTCCACCACCCCACTAAGCATTTATCCTTGCACAACCATCCACAAAGTCATTCAGATGTACAATCTAACAAAAGAGGATTTGGACTCAGAGGAAGGAAAAACTTTGCATTATGACTTCAAAATTAATCTAAAAAGAATCTAGTGGGATTAGGTGCAGGGATCAAAGGATATTAACACCACTGCTGTGCCGCCTTGATTGTTGACAATCTGCCCCAGCTGCCCTGTGCTTTGAGGTATGTGCTATTCAAGTAGGGCAGTGGACATGTTCCCCCCAACATGATTGTGTGCATTCAAAATGATTACCATAACAACATCTACATATTATCTATTGTGTTAAATATTTTTTCAGCAGTTAACTCACGCTGAGTAGTTTTAGGCATCTGGAGGATGGCCATGATCAGTCCTTTTGGTCAGGGATTAGGTTAAATATCAGCTGCCAAGATCAAGGGCATCTCTTATCCTAGAGGAATTATGCTGGCGGAGTCAGAAAAGGCCCTTTTATTAAAAGACTATTGCTCTGTTCATCGATTTAGGACTACAAAGTGCTGTAAGAAAAGTGTGTTATACAGTAAAAAACGGCATGTTTACCCACTACTCTAATAGTAAGTATATGCTAATATACACATAACAATAGACATAACAGATCATACAGTAGCCTTCTGAACTAGTGTTTGGTGTTGGCAAATGTCTTTCATGGATCAGAGTACATTGTCCATTTCAAAGGAGTGAGTACTAATGCAGTACTATAGCGCATTTAATCAACTCTGCTAATCCTCATCTCTCCAATAAAGGAGGAATTACCAACTAGTATTGACAAAACTTCCTAACTATCAAGCAGCAAAACAACCACACTACTGTAAGCTTTATTTATTGTTTACCAGGCCTAGTTCTAAATATTTTGACAGGGACTATACTGCAAATGAAAACAACCAAAGGAACACACAAGTACATCCATGCCGACTAAGTCTCTCTGCAGTCCTTCAGTAGCATGGTTGTCTCCTGCATTTGGACTGATTGACACTTCTGTCACACAGAGCCAGTGAGGCTGAATGTATAGTTGTGGGATGTTGTCCCAGTCTTGCAGACAGGCCTAATCAAGTTGCTTGCCATTGGCGGGCAAAGGGTCACAGATGTGTGATCCAGGGCATCCCATTCAAGCCATTACAGCACAGACAGGGAACTGTCCAAAACCACTTTCATGCTGCAACCTAAGGTTTGAATTAACAGCTTTAGAAAGGTGACCTGACTAAGCAATGTTCCAACTGTACCTCTGTAGGCAAAATAAGCACAACCTGGGAATGGCAAGATGCAATCCAACACTGAGCAAGCTTTATGCCTGGACAAAAGGGCTTAGCACAAATCGAAAACTTTCTGGAAATTACACACCGTGCAACTTTTACTAATGCCAGGTAATTACCCTAAAAGTAAAGCATTTAAAATCTGCGTGGGCTTGGATTGTAGTATGATAGCAGATAGGTGGTTAGCTGCATGCAGAAAAGAAAAATGTGTGTGCCAGTTTTGCACAATGATTAAAATTCTCTCTGTTGCATCTTGACATGACAAACACAGTGCAGACAGAGACACACACGCGCACCAAATACAAAGGAGTGAGGATGAGAGGAGACGCTGACACACTGCCGTTAATCCAAAAGATACCATCTGGAGATGCTCTAGGAGCCAGTGACTCTTGCATGCGCACACACACATTACAACTCTGTCACACAATGTAGAAACCACAAACATTTTAACAGAATTTTAACTTTTAAATTAAA